CGACGACTTTATATATATATATATATATAATAAAATAATAATAAAAAGAAATAAAGAAAAGAAAAAGGGGGGGTTATACACCTGCACCCTCTCTTCCTGAAGGGAGAGGCCACCTCAATTTTCTTCCTCGTTGGCGTGAAGCCCGCTGGTCTCCCTCTTCTTCGCCGCCAACACCAACGTTGTCGTTGGCCCGCACCGCCTCCGGCGTCCCTCCTCCAGCAGCTGGCCGAACCCACCGTGACCTGCTTCTTCTAAGCCAGCCAACATCCTCTCGTCGGCCTGTCTCGTCGGCATAACTTCCGACGTCGCCGACACCACTCGGAGACCCTTGCTTTGTCGATCTCCTCCCTAATCGAGTCTCCTACCTGAAGATTTCTCATGTGGGGACTTTAGCTTCTTCCCACCTCATGACAGTAGCTCTCCTCCTTGTAGAGAAAAGCCAACCCGTGAGACTCTCCCTCTCTCTCTCGGCTTTCTGATGGATTACCACTGCAATCCTCCCCGCCGGCGGAACCCAGCCGTCGTTGATCCGGCCTTTCTTTGCAGCGCAGCCCCCTCTTGGGTTGAGATCTGAACCTAGTCAATGCATGCCCAAGCTCCTTCGTCGGGGCTCTATCTCACCGGTGACCACCACCTTCCCGTCGGCAAAGTGTTGTCCATGGAGAAGTGCCTCCTAGCTGTTTTGTGACACTCTAAGGGCCTTAGCATCACACGTCGTCTCTCCCTCACCGGAGCGGCGACCGCGTTACGTCGCAAAAGCCAGCGTCTAACCCCTCGAAGGTTCGTGTTGCCCTTATTTTGATACACTATGATATTTATCAAATGTACTTTGCATACCTCTGGCTCTCACTCCTTGGGTCTTTTTATTGTCCTATGCACGTTCTACGAGGCATGCCGGAGCATAGATCGGACGTCAGCAAGCTTAGAGCAAATAAAGAAAATGCATCTGCAACCGTTACGGTGGTAAGATTTTTTAACTCCTAGCTGGCCTTAGGTTTTAGTGGTGTGTAAGCGTGTGAGTTCGATCGCCCACACGTGGTACATACGCAGGCGTGAGCTAGCGCGGCGACGTACCTATGTGATTGATCGTTGATTTACCTAGAGCTAGCCTTTAGGTTATGACTGTCTATGCGTTGACCAAGTCATATACGAAGTCGAGTGATTATCTGTTGTAAGCCTTAGGCCTTTAACCCCGCTGTGTTGGAATCTCAATTTCACACGGTTTTGCGCTCGTAAACTTCCTTGGAGGGATTAGTTGAGTTCAATCTTAGAGGTTGAAAAAAGCTTCGTAGTTAATCAGTCATATAAGATCATCAGCATTCGTAGAACGGAAAAAGCTTTGTAGCTAGTCCGCCCTACAATCCCTACAACAAATCGGATGGGAAAACCCTCCACATTGTCATGTCAAAGTTGGAGGCGACGATGCCGCATATCCAAGTGCGT